CCCTAAGGCATTCATATGCTCAGACATCAGAGCCCCCAGCTCTTGGCCCACAACACTGGGAGACCACTTGGCTATGAGAAACGACCCCTCTGAGCAGCGTAGGCCCTAGACATATCCCCATTCCCGCTTCCGGCCAACCCTTCTCCTTGGTAGAAATGGTGCCCACTGCCTGCCCTCTCCCAGCATCACCGAGTGGAGCAGAGCGCTCCTGACCAGCAAATCAGTGTCAGGGGAAGGCCCACGACATTCCTTTCCCCCCAGCAACATATACTGGCAACACAACGAATGCTGTACGACCGACCAGGAATGACGTTTGTAGAACCCGTCACCGTCCCCGTGTACGGGGGCTGAGTGAGGCACAGAGGGGTTGCCAGGCTGCAAGGGACAGACTGGACTGTGGTTCTCCGGCCCCAGGGCTGGTCCCGGCAGAGCAAGGACCACTTTCCTCACGGCCCCCAGGTCAGAAAAATAAGGTCATGAGATTCCTCGACAGGCAACTCCCAGGGGCCATTAGGTCTTGGCTTGATGGATTCGAAGTTCTACCGTTTTCCTCTTAGCCAAACTGGCCGCTTCTCTCATTTTCCCCATCTTCCTCCTGCCGCGGGCTTTATCTTTTTCTTCTCTGCAGTCTGGTTGTGAGTGCTGAGCTCATGTACTATTTATGCTCCTGTACATAATGAAAACATCTGAGATGTGAGGTCCCTCCTGAAGGCTCACTGGCCAGCAGGTTCTGTATTCGTGTTTCCTGAATGGGCTGCCACGGCGTTTCCTGTTTGGACCATTGTCACCTGGAAGCACGTCCCTCTCCCAAGCTGTCTGCTGGCCTCAGGGAGGCTGAGGTCACGTCCGGCTCTGATCATCCTTGGTGCAGCAAGGATGTCTGCCCATGCACACGGCTCCTGCAAGCAAGGGCTGTCTCTGAGCTGCCTGCATAGGGGACAGCCTGTGCCGGGCCAGGGTGGGAGGCCTGACTTAATGTTTCTTCCAGAAAGTTCTTGTTTCTCAGTCCTCCGGCCTGACTTGCTGATGGCACCTCCCCTGCCCTCAGAATGGAGTGACTATTCCTCCATCTCAGTGGGAACCAGAGGGGATGTGCTGCCGTAACAAACACTACCACGCGGCTGATGTTGACTTCTTGCCGGCTGGGAGTTGGTCCTCTTGGCAGGACCCAGGGCAGGCCACCGTGTGAAGCATTGCCGCTCACCACGCAAGCACGGGGCATCATGTGCTGACTCAGGAAGCTTCCTCAGTATCACACGTCATGTACATACACTTGTGTGGGCAGGTCAAGTATAAGGCGGTGCCCGAGTCCAGGTGGAGCAGAGGACGCAGGCCACTTTGAGCCCAGGAATGCCACGCCAATGGCACCACCACTTCCCAGCCCCTGCCTCCTGGGCTCAACGTCTCTTCTCAATAAAAGTGCTTTATACTTAGGCTTCATTCCTATTCAGACAGAGCACCCACTTAAACGCTAATGCCTTCCTACTATCTGATTGGGTTGACCCCTGAACACACACACACACACACACACGTGAAACATATGTGCACACAATGTGAGATTATACAACCACACACATGGGTACCCTTAGGTGTGCGAATATACACATGTACACATACACGCATTTGGGAGCACACACAACCACACCCATGTACCCATGTGGGTATGCACGTACATACACGCATGCTCACACACACCCCACAGCTGTTTCCAGGAGTGTGGGTTGGGGTCACGAAACACAGCCCCCTCATCTAAACCAGGGGCCTCTGCATGCAGGAGCAGTGAGGGGGTTGGCTGTATGGCCACTGTGGGGTACCTGATCCCCTCAGGGCAGCCATCAGCTTCCCCACAGGAGCCACCCTTCCCAGGGAACTGTCTTCCCTCTCTCCCCACCTCCATCCTCCCTCATTTAATCCCAGTACATTCTTTTCCATCATTCCTGTTTGGGATTGTGCTGCCTAGGATCCCCTAGGCAGCCTAGGAGGATTGTGCTGCCTAGGAGGGGCCGGTATAAGGATGTGAGGTTGCCTGGGCACCAGGATTGGGGACATGGTGCTAGACATGACAGGGTGTCCAGTACACTCACCCAAGTCCTATATCCAACAGTGTTTTTTTGTTTGTTTTTTCCATCTACACAAACCGAGGATCTAGTGCCCAAGTAACCAGGACCCCCAGATGGGGCATTGGGTGGACCCTGGTTTCTCTGGCCCCCAACCCACGGCCTGCCATCCTTATCCAGTGAGGAGGGCGGCCCCAGGCTTTGGAAGCAAACCTAGACACCCCCTAAAGGTGAAATGAGCTGTTTTCAAATGGGAACTCCCCCAGAATAGGACAAAACCACAATTCCTAACTGTCCAGCACTGCTATTAGAGGTTTGCATTTCATTTTGTATGCTTGACATTCTGATACATGTAACACTTTACATAATTTTAGAACAAAATTAAAAGTTTGAAAAGCAACCCCTAAAAATCAAATGAGTCGAAGAAAGCCAGCTGATGGATGGGAGCGGAGTCAGGTGCTCCGAGGGACTTGAACATGGCGAAGTGACCCCAGCATCGGCCAAGCGACGGGATCCTCAGGCGTGGAGGTAGAAGACAGACCGTAGACACTGGTGTTCGTGCTGTTTGGTTTGATACGGGGCCTGCGGTCACTTCGGAGCCCTGCCTTTGATATGGAAACACTCCAGTGGCAGAGGTAAAGCCTGGGTCTCCTCGGTGGGGGCTGGGGTTGGACCTAGAGGTTGGACACGCAGGACCGCCTTAAACCCCTCTGGTTTCCATGTGCCTAACACCTACACAACGAAGAGCTAAAAGACACACTCAGACTGTATTCTGAGGAGCAAGGACTATTTTTGGAAAAGACGTCCATATGCGTAAAGGGTAGGCTTTCTGAGGAGCCTGTGAATCAGGTGCTCTGGGCTCGGTCTAAAGGCTGCCGGGGCACGCAGAGCTGACCACACATGTTGACCCTCCCCAAACTGGGGAGGGGAGTGGGGAGCAGGGCATACCTCTGTGCTATAGTGTCTTCTCATCAAGCAAAAGACATGAACAGGCAGCACATGATCCTGGAGCCCCTGAGGCCCGTTAGGAGGCCCAGCTTCGGGCTGACCCTGGCCCCAGGGCTGGGGCCCAAAATACACTTGGATAGAACAGGGGTCTCTCTGAATGAGACGAAATTGATGATGGGTCCTACCAGGTGACAGGCCACGAGGGGCACATTAGCTGGTGGGGGTTGGAGGGGGGCACCTGCAGGAGGCAGAGGGAAGGTTACGGCTGGTCCCGAGGGAGCCTGACAGCCAGAGGGCTGATGGGTACTGGGTTCTCTAATTAAACGTTGTGATGTAATTAGCATCCGCTCCCCAGCCCAGGAGACGCTGAGGTGGGAGTTATCACGGCTGTGCTAGAAGCCCAGGCACGAACGCAGGGAGAGGGCACTCCTCCCAGGGCACCCTGAGCTCTGCCGACCTCAACTGAGGGTGAGCACAAGTGTGTGACGGTGGTCAAGGGCATCAGGAGGTTCCGAGGGCGGCATCGGGAAAAGCACCGAAGCTCCCAGAGCCCAGCCACCACTCAGTCTGTCACGGGAGGGGGTGGGGGGCTCCCCCTCCACGCCTCAGTTTCCCCTCTGGAGAGAAGGTCCTAGCCAGTGCCCAGCCCCCCGGGCTCCCAGGGCCACTCCTTGGGTACAGGGGACAAGTAAGGATCAGGCTCCAGGCCCGTCGTGAGGCCCCTCGAAGACCCCATGATCCAAGGTCTCTGGCACCAGGAAAAACACTTGGGTACAGAAACACAAGTAATCACTGTTTTTGTACCAAGAATCTTATAAGTAAGGTGTCTCCAATCTTAAGAAAAACTTAAGAAACACAGGCCAACACCAGGAATATACATGTAACTATCATTTTAACCAACATTATTGGAACATCTTTAGAAGAAAACCGTTTGGCTGAGTCTCTCTGATTTGAAATTAAGAGGCTTCTTTCTTCGTGCAGACCTGCTGTCCCAGGCCCAGGACCAGCTGCCTTAGGAATCCACCAGAGAAAGGCCCGGAAGGCCGGCGTCCTGCTATCTCCGCCAGCCAGCCAGCTCTCCGATATGCTGGAAGCAGGCACCCTGGAAAACCCTAGTCATCGGCGAGAACCCATGGAAGCATGAGGGGCTGGGCCCCAGTCTCAGCACCATGACCTCAGCCCAGACTGCCGGCACCGGCTTTATCGCTGCACAAGGAACATTCCAGAAGCAGCACAGCCGCCGTTTGTACAGCACTGGCTTCAAGCAGCACAGGACCTTGAGGGGTGCAGTTGCTGTGCCTGGCTCACCCCACTGGCAGATGTTACATAGGCTCCAAGCACCTCTCTGTCCAGGACAAACCTGGAAAAAGCCAGTGCGTGGAGCACACATGGGGTCTGAGTCCCTCTGAGGGCTGGCACATGCGTCAGGCATGGTGGATGCCAAGAAGGAGGCCACATGCAACCCCGAGGCAGCCATCAGTCCAATCATCCGGCCGTCTGAGGGTGGGACCCACACACCAGCCAAGGCTCCGAGGCAATTCCAGCAACCAGTGACCAGGGACCTTGAGCAGAGGACCCAGGGCCCAGCCTCCTGAGCCACACAGTCTCCACTGCCCCCGAGGACGTGGTCACCTGGTCCCCGCACAGCACAAACCCCATCTCATTCCTGAAGGTCTGAGAAAGGTACCCACCCCCTTCCACATGCTCAGATTGAAGGTTTAAGTCAATGTTTCTACAGCCCAACCTGCAAACCCGGGACTTGTAACAATTACTGTCTTGCTCACGGGACAGCCAAGGCACAGAAGGAAGCGCCGTCCCACTGCCTGAGTTCACGCGGCATTTATTCACCCTCCATAGGAGGCGGGAGGGGCTGCCCACCGGCCCTAACAAGAGCCAAGGAGGCCGCCTCCAGGATCCAGGTGATGACGGCGAGGAGTCGGCCCTCTCTGGCGCCTCATGTGCATCCTTGGAGCTCACGGCACACCCCAGGCCGGGTCAGAGCAGGCCACCGCCGTCCAGCTGCAGCTGCCGGGCCAGCTGCTGCCCGATGGTCTGCAGGGGGCTGGCTCTGTAGGTGGGACTGGCCAGTAGATCCCGGAAGCGGGTCCTTTCTTCCTCACTGAAAAATTGAGGTTGGAGGTCAGCAGACTCCACGCCCCCGGGGTGGTGGGATGAGTATTCAGCACCCAGGACCCACCTCAGCTGGGCCACCCACACCCAGGCGCCGCAGGGCAGGCTGAGCCCTGGATTAGACAGGAGAGGCCTAATCACCCCGGGGGGGGGAGGGGGGGGGCACCAGCAAAGGGCTGAGCGCAGGGTGGGACTAAGGAAGGCAGCCTGAGCTTCTTGAGGGGGCGGGTCAGGCCAAAGGGACTAAAGGCTGAGCAGGGCTTTGGGTAGGAGAGGAGACACTGCCCTGGGCCTCCTCTTGGTCACACTTGGGTCCACTGGGCCCACACGTGGGGTTGGGGTGCTAGCATCCCTGCCCCTTTCCCAGGGAGGGGATTCTAGGCTCATCCCCAACCTTGACAAGGAGCTGCTATTAAAGACGAAGGCTGCCAAATGCAGGGAGGCAGCAGCCTGCACACACCATGCAGACGCACAGCCTTACCTAAGAGGCGCCCTCCCTCCAGCGCTGCCGAAATAGACGCGGCCACTGCAGGAACCAAGGGCCAGGAGTTCTGCGTGCCCACAGCCCCAGGTGGCACTGCTGCCTCACAGCAGAGAAGGAGGGATCCTCTCCTCCTGCAGGAGCCCTGAGCCTGAGTCCACAGTGCAGGCTGCTTTCCCGCACGCCTGTCTGAGCCCAGCGGCCCCTGGGTGCGCGCGCGGTCATGCCGCCTCCTGGAAGCGCTGGGGCAGCTGGAGCTCTGCAGGCCCTGAAGCCCAGCCATGGTCCCCGCTGCCTGGCTAGGTTCCTGGGGGTCAACACCTGCCCCTGAAACAGAGATGACCCAGCCAGAAACCTCAGACGGCAGCTCCAGGACAAGTTCACATGGGCCTGCGGTGGTAGGAATGACCTGTGTGTGATGTGTGGGTGTGGTGGGGGGAAGGGGGGAGCCTGTGCTCTGCCCTGCATGGGTGACTGTGGGCAAGGCCGTACCATGCCAGGCCCCAGCTTTCCTGGATATTAACGGGAGAACTTGAACAAGTAATTACCCACAGGACAAGTAATTACCTGAGCCAGGTGACAATATCTGGGACACCCTCCCTGCCCCTAACCCAGGACTGGGGCCTGAGGGCAGCCCCAAGAGCCAGCAGCTGCTCCCCTCCCCCCTCAGGGGAAGGGGCTTCCTGACCTCCCCCTGGAAGCAGGCTACTTCACGCCAACCAGGCTGTGCCTCCGAGGGGGCCTGGCTGAGCTGCCCACGGCGCCCGAGTGGACTGAGGCTGGGGGCCCTGCCAGAGCCTCAGTGCGGCGGGGGCGGTACTCACAGGAGCTGGAGCCTCTGCGCCGCGCTCATCCGGCTGAGCTCCGCCGGCCGGGGCTTGCTGCTGGTTCTGTGGACAGAGAACCGAGTCAGGGCCACGCTCAGGTCATCTGGAATGTCTGCCGGAGCGCCTCGCTGAGGCTGCAGCCCACGGTAAGGCTTTGGGATGGTGCTGGGATAAGGAAGACTCTGGGAGCAGGAGAGGCTTCGCGGAGAAGGACCCAGGCGAGGGGGGAGGGAAAGAAAAACTGCCCAGTCCTGGCCAACTCAGCTCCAGCTCAGATGCCCTTATCTTTAATTGGGATTTTTTTTTTTTTAAGTAGGAATGAAAAAAATTCCTGGCCCACCCAGGGCAGCACCTGCACCACATGCTACTGTCACCCTGGCTCGGCCCAATGTGGTCCCAACTCTGCCTGTCCAGGACGTTGCTCTGCTCTTCCAGCCATTGACCCAGTTCCCGCGTCCACCCGGGTGTGAGTCCCTTGCTGACCACCCACAGCTCTCCCAGGCCTGCATGTGTGGAACTGGGGTCAGGGCTCCCTTCTCCCAGCCAGAGCTCCCAGAAGGTGGCCATGCGCTGGGAGGTCCAGGAAACAGGGTCTAGCATAACCCTACTGGCCGGAGGCCTATGGCCATGGATCTCCACCTCCCCCCACCCTCCAACTCCCGCTTACTAAAACAGAATAGAAGGTGGGCTGAGGCCTCCCACAGCTCCTCCCAGCCCCAACATGATATAGACAAATCCAGGAGTCTCGTCAGTAAGAGGCAAGAGGGAGCAGGACCCTCACCCAGCCTCAGGCAGCTCCCAAGACAGACATGACTTCCTCCCCAACGGGCTTCCCGTGAGTTAAGGACTCTGCAGACAAAGCCAGGTGGGTAAATCAGTAGCATGGGGCGCAGCTTTCACCCACGGTGCCAGCCCCAGTCCTGCCCCGAGGTCCTGGCAGGTCTGGGCTTTGGCCCTTGGACGTTTTTCCAGTGGAGAACCCCTGGCTGGGCTGACGCCCTCGAAGCCGAGCCATCGCAGCGTGGAGCTCTCCAGGCAGCTGAGAGGGAACTCACCCTCGGGTGTGCGGCCGCCGGGCGCCAGCTTCCAGCTCCAGCAGCTCGGGGAGGGCGTCCCGGAGGGGCTGCAGGTCCCCCACCACCACCGTGGCCCGCCGCCTCCGCTCCGCCTTCAGTTTCTGCTCAGCCAGCTTTATGGCTTCGATTTCTGAGGAAGGGAGACAAGGAGTTAGTGAGGGAGCAGAAGGTTGAGGAGCCCCGCCATCTGAGCCAAGTCTGGGCTGCTCCTTCCTGCCCACAGCAGGCCCCTAGTTTCCGGCTGGCTGGCACCTCCAAGCTGCCCTGGGAATTGGGGGCGATCTGGCTGCAAGCTATTTCTCCCCTAATCAGAGAGGTGTGCTCTTAAATTACAGGGCTGGTGATGAAACACGGAGGACTTGTCCTCTTGAAAAGGGACTTGGCCACAGGGCCTAGGCTCTCAGTGGCTGTGGAGAGCCACACAGTCACAGAGAAGGTGGTAGGCGCATCCCATTCTTGCTCGCTCCCCGAGCACCTCCTGGGGAGGGATGCACGAAGGGAGAGTCCCGGTGGGGAAAGGGGAGCCAGCTTCCTAACCCGGAAATGGGTGAGGGGCCGAGTGCTGCGGGGGTCTCACAGCCCTGGGAGGGAGGCAGCGGGACAGGAGAAGGTGGTGGGGCAGAGCAGGGTGTAGAAGAGCTAGAGGGTGAGGCTGGGTCAGTGGCATGCAGCGGCCTGTGTCCGAGAAAGAGGTTTGGGCAGGGCCTGAACGGAGCATGGCCTTGCGATTTCATTTCCATTAAAAATATATTTATTTCAAAATTGCTAATAAAATACGTGCTGAAAATTGCTAATAAAAAACATGTGGTTTCCAGTGTGGCTTGTGGAAAACGCTGGCTCGCTGGTGGGCATGCGGATCTTGCACAAAGGCCCTCCCTTCCCCAGGGATGGAGGGGCAGGCCCCCCATTGGCAGCCTGGATGGGCCCACGGAGGACCAGAGGCCGCTCTGCTAACCGAACCTGTGCTCACTGATCTTCAACTGGCTCTGCACCAGGTTTTATAAAAAAAGGCTCTGCTACTACAAACGCTTGGAAATGAGGACAGTGACGGGCTTGGGGTGAGACCTGAGCTTGACACTCATCTCACCCTGGTTTGTTGGGCTATAAATAATGGGGTGCCAGACTCTGAATCACATCCAACTGGGAACTAAAACCCCTTCCTGACAAAGGACCAGGACAATTCACAGCCAGCTCCTGGCAGAGCACAAGGTGCCCCTGGAGGAGAGGCAGCCAGTGCCCAGCCAGCCTGCTCCCCTGTGCATTCCTGTGCCTCCATGGCCAGGGCGTCAGAGCGCTGTGGCTGCCGTCAGCCGGAAGGGCGGATGCAGGAGGCCTCCACGCAACAGTGATGGCCACCAGGCACAGAGCAGGTACAGCTCAGGGTCCTGGCCGGAAACCCCATGCATAGGACAGACTTAGGCAGCCCGCTGATCAGTGCAGAGGAAGTGTGCACCGCACAGGGCTCCCAGCAAGGGTGTGAAAGTGACGGCCCGAACAGGCGTTTTCAAGAGGCAGCTTTCCAGAAACTGACACTACGCATCAAGCAGGGAGAAGTGCCTGGCAGGCCTCCCAAGGCCAGCTCTCTCCCAGCCTGCAGCCGAGGCAGCACTGGGATGGCCGGAACAAACTCTGGAAGGCCCACCCTGACCGAGCCCAATCAGGGGCACATGCTGGCCATCCCCACCCCCCTAAGGGCCCTGTGGAGAGAGGGTTGTTCTTGCCCCAAACAGTTGAGTCCAGAGGACAGACTACCCACCCTCCTGGGTCCTTGTGCACCAAGCCCCATACCATCCCTCAGAGCCCGGAGTTATTAGGTGACAATTCAGGTGTTCCCATCCTCTCTGGTGAAGGACAAACTGCCCAGCACCTTGTCGCCCGAGATGCCTCTTCCCAGAGAGCTCAAGCACCCTGGGGGGTGAGGGGATGCGCCCAGGGGGGAACCTTAAAGTCTCAGGGTGGAGACCTCAGGCAGGGGAAGGAGACGGGAGGGACACAGGAGGGGGGTGCCCTGGACCACAGGCAGAGCACCAACGCCACACCAGGACCAGCAGAGCCCGTGGCTCTCAGGAGGACGGAAGCAAGCACTAAACCAATGAAAGCCAAAGCTTTTTAAATTAATGTGTGGTGCCCAGCTGGGGAGTGTCGGAGGCAGGCAAGTCTGACTGGCCTGGGGACAGCTGCCAGGCAGTCCACTGCAGCGGCTGCTTCAGAGGGGAAGGCCTATAGTCACCAGGAGTGCCAAAAAGAACCCGGCAGAACTACCGCCACTCGTAATGACAATGACAAACCACAGACGAGGAACTGCCTTAATCTGACTCAGACGACCTCCCAGACAGGCCGGTAGTAAATATCACCGTGTTGGCGAAGCACTAGTCACACTCGTCACGCAGCAGAGCAAGGAAAGGAGACTGCGACTCCGTGCCGTCCCGGTGGTCGGTGCGGTCCCAGGCAGGGTGGACGGCAGGGCTCCGCCTGAGGACACGCCAGCTGCCGCGACAGCCGGCAGGGCCAGCTCCGCCGCCCACCAACCCCAAGTCTGACACGTCAGTCAGAGCCCACAGGAGCCTTACCCAACCGGGGACTCTACATCTGATTTTTTAAAAAGACCAAATGCAGCCGAAACTGGTTTGGCTCAGTGGATAGAGCGTCGGTCTGCGGACTGAAAGATCCCAGGTTCGATTCCGGTCAAGGGCATGTACATTGGTTGCGGGCACATCCCCGGTAGGGATCAATATTTCTCTCTCATCGATGTTTCTAGCTCTCTATCCCTCTTCCTTCCTCTCTGTGGAAAATCAATAAAATATATTAAAAAAAAAAAAAAAAAAAAAAAAAAAAAAAAGACCAAATGCATAATAGCCAAAACAGTTTTAGAAAAATACAAGCAATGACACAAGAGTGGGCCTACTGGATATTACAGCAGATTATGAAAGGACAGAAATTCAAACAGACCACATGCAGGAGGGCCTCCCAGGGAGACCAGGACCGAAGCAGTGCTTCAGAAGACCACTTGACCACGGAAAAGTGACTCCCTCCCTCCCCTTCGCTGCTCCTAAAAATTAATTAGAGGGTAAACCCACAGGCAACAGGCACAGCTTCAACACATGCTGACCAAATGGCACACCAAGCTGGTACTGGTTTCCCAGGCCTCGGGGCCTCATCCCCACACTGGCTCCCTCACACCTCTGTACCTAATCCATGCAGAGCCCCTCATTAATTTCTCTCTAGGAAACCCTTTGAGGGTGCCAGACTGAACTGACCCACGTGCTGATGTCTGCCCCTCAGAGCAGGATTTCATGGCCAGCCCAATCGAGAGCAAAAGGGGACAAGAAAAAGTGCCTCCTGTCAATTTTGTGGTCTAAAGCAGCAAGACCTGAGGCAGTGACAGTTGGGGAGCATCTGCAGGGGCTTGGCTGGGGGCACGGGAGGCTGTGTCCTGCCCCTGCATTCTCTCCCCTAAGACAGTGCAGGAAGGTTCCCACAGACTGACAAAGTCGTTCATCCTAAGAGGTTTAATGTAAAACTAGCTGGAGGTGCAAAGAAGGAAGCTTAACAGGGCCCTGGTCGGTGTGGTTCAGTGGTTAGAATGTCAGCCCACACACCGAAGGGTCACGGATTCGATTCCTGGTCAAGGGCATGTACCTGGGTTGCAGGTTCCATCCCAGGCCCCTGGCCAAGGGAGGCAACCAATCGTTGTGTCTCCCACATGTATGTTTCTCTCTGTCTCTCTCTCTTTCTCCCTCTTTTCTCCCTCCCTCCCTTCAACTCTCTCTAAAAAAAAATCAATGGAAAAACTATCCTCACGGATTAACAACAACAAAAAAAGGGGTGGGGGGAAGCAAACGTATGCAAATCAGGTCTCTAAAACCAACCACACTGGCTCTGTTGAACATGGAAAATTTTTATGGGCTGGAACCTGCATTTTGATATGATGCCCAGGATGGCTGGCACCAGCTCCCTGAAAGCCCAGCCATGCCCATAACAGAATTCAGAAGATAGGCGACAACAGAACATCACGGTCTTTCCTCCCAACTCACCAGCCCATGTTTGCTAATTTACAAATGACTGAAGGGAAGTTCCATGTAAATAGGGCCTGAAACAAAGCACTTATGCAACACGTGCCTGGGATTCCTCCTCCTGAGCAAAGCAGGCTGGTAGGACACCAGCATGGCCTCAGCCCCTGGCCCCCAAGACCAGGAAGATCAGGAACGAATGAATCTCATGGCTTTTATCACTGCACCAAAGGTCTGATCACTGCAGTCAGAGGTCAAGAAGACTCTGAAACAAAGTTTGGGAGGAAAATATAAAACTGTCTCTATTTTAAGTCACATGAGTATTAGTGTAGGAAATTCTAAAGAAGCTACTACCAGAACTAATATGATTTTAGCAAGGTCAAAGGATATAAGATCAGTATGAAAAAATAGTTTTACATACTAACCAAAAACTGGAAAATGTAGATTCCATTTATAATAGCTTTAAATTATGAAAAGCAAAAACCTTATATTTAAAAACAGCAACAACAACAAAAAAAAAAAACATATGAGATCTTTACCCATATAACACTGATGACAAAAACTAAAGAAAAATCTCAGTAACTGGGGAGATATACCATGTCCATGGACTCAAAGAGTCAATACTGTTAAGATAAAAATTCTCCCAAAGTTAACCAATAGATTTAAAGTAATCTCAATCATAATACCAACTAAATTTTTGTTGGGGATAGTGGTTTTTAAAATTGACTAGCCAATGCTAAGATTTATACAGAAATGCCAAAGACGTGGAGTATTCAAAGCAATCTTAAGACAGAAGGACTTCCATATCTAAGTCCAAGACTTACTCTGAGATACAGCCATTCAGACTGCCCAGCAATTGTCTGTCAGAAAGACAGCAAAGTAATTGAACACCCACATTGGGGGGAGGGAGATCTACCACAGACAAATATTCAAGATGGATCAAAACCTAAATATAAAAGCCAAAATGATGAAGTTTTTAGAAGAATAGGAAGTCACAGTCAGAGAGAAAACTATTTGTGAAACACAGGTGACCAAGGACTGGTGTGCAGGACATTAGGATCTCTAGAGCTCAGTAATAAAAAGGCAAAGAGCCCCAGGGAACACTCAAGGGAAAAAGATGCATCAACGGGCAGCTAAGACATGAAGAGGCTGGTTCTTGGCAAGGAGCATGAATCCCACCATGAGCTACCACTTTGTGCTGAGCAGACAGCCACCACCACATGCCGGCAAAGCCATGCCACAGCCGGAGCTCCCACGTCGTTGGTGGAAGTGTAAATGTACAACCACTTTAGAGAAACATCTGGTAGTTGCTTGTAAAACTAAACATACAACTACCCTATGACCCAGCGTTCCATTCCCAAGTATTTACCCAAGAGAAATGAAAACATATGTCCACAAAAAGACTTGTAAAGAATGTTCATAGCAGCCTTAGTCATAGCAGCTAAGAGAGAAAAAAGACCAGGTGTCCATCAACAGGAAAGTGGGCACCGAATACTATGTCCATATAAAGAAACGCTTCTCAGCAACGGACCAGCATGGACCTCAGCCACATGCAGCACGGATGGTTTTAAAAACACAGAAAGAGCATATCCTACATGGCTCCATTCACAGGAGGTTTGGAGCAGTGAACCCTAACTGCGACCCAGAAAGAGTCGCAGAGGTCACCCCTGGGCAGTCATGGGATTTCATAATGGGGTGGGAGGTTCTGAAGTGGAAGAGATTATGGCTAAACTGGTCGTGTACAATTGTCATAAATCTCTCAATGGCACACTTAAGATCTGCATTGAATTGTATGTAAGTTTTACCTAAAAATAAAAAAAGAACCATAAACAAACACTGAATTCTAGCCAAATTATTTGGGAGAAAGTATACTGATGTCTGCACTTACTTAGGAATGCAAAGATAAAACATGGATTGGAAGATGGATAGGCAGACATGACTGAACAGATGAACAGATATATGACAAAGAGTGTTAAAAATTATAGCACATACAATTGCGTACAGTACTTAATACCTGATCATGACAATAAACAACTATGTTACTACATTATGCATTTACTAATTATTTTATTGTTTTGTTTTGTTTTTAATCCTCACCTAAGGATATTTTTCCATTGATTTTCAGAGAAAATGGAAGAAAGAGGGAAAGACAGAGAGAAATATCGATGTGAGAGAAACATCAATTGGTTACCTCCTGCATGTGCCTTGCCCAGGGCCGGGCCTGAGAGGAGCCTGCAACCAAGGCATGTGCCCTTGACCAGAATCAAACCCAGGACCCTTTTTTTTTTTTTTAAATATATATTTTATTGATTTTGTACAGAGAGGAAGGGAGAGAGATAGAGAGTTAGAAACATCAATGAGAGAGAGTCATTGATCAGCTGCCTCTTGTACAACCCCCACCGGGGATATGCCCGCAAACAAGGTACATGCCCTTGACCGGAATCGAACCCGAGAACCTTCAGTCCCCAAGCCGACGCTTTATCCATTGAGCCAAACCGGTCTCGGCCAAACCCAGGACCCTTTGGACTGGAGGCCAACACTCTCTCCACTGAGCCAAACCAGCTAGGGCTACTACATTACTTTAGAAGTAACTCTTTCTACTTAAAAAAAAAAAGTATGTTCAGTGGTTAGAGTATCAACACAGGCACCAGAAGGTCTTGGGTTCAATTTCTGGTGAAGGGAGCATACACTGATTGCAGGTTCGATCCCCGACCCCAGTCCGGGTGCATGCAGAAGGCAACCAATGTGTCTCTCATATTGATGTTTCTCTCTCTCTCCCTCTCCCTTCCACTTCTCTAAAAAAAGATCAATGGAAAAATTGGGTGAGGATTAACAAGTTTCTTGTAAAGCAGTAGCTGTGTCACATTGCAGCAGCCTCATACGTGAGGTGTTTATCTCATCTCTTGATTATGTCATCTCTCTGTGCTTGATTTAACCTAGTTCTGTACAGTAATCTCCTGTACAGGCTTGCAGCCCAGGAGCAAGAGGCTGTATCACACAGCCTAAGTGTGTAGTACAGACTGCGCCATCAGGTGTAAATAACTGCCTTTGTGATGTTCTCCCTAATGAGGCCTTTCTCTGACCTGTCCCATCAAGTGGCATGTGACTGAATTTTCAATCAAGGTGGGTTGAATCAAAGGATGCAGACCCGCATACAGAAAGTCAGCAGAATCACACTAAAAGCAGTAAGGAAGAAAATTACAAAACCATCTTCACAAGAAAGTATTTAGAAAAACATTAGCAAATATTCAGCATCATGAAAAATAACTACTATATTTTCCAAAACAAAATTAGTGCGAAGAGTGGCATTCGACCTGTCACAAGACATTTAACCAGCAATGCACGTTAGAGACGTGCTTGGAGAGAAAGGCCCCGCTGACCCCCAGAAGACCCGGGACCCAGGAGTCCTGGGATCATGCACAACGCCCCACCCAGATGCCCTGAGCGACTGAAGTGTCTGGAGATCTGAAAGGACACTTGCCAAAGGGACATGACTCCATCTACTACTTTAGACAGTTCTGTGTCCTAAAGTATTCACAACCAGCAGGTCCTTTTGTAATTACAAATTACAAATTCATCATAGAACTAAAAGCAACATTTTTACATGCGGGAAGCTGGGTGCAGCACATTCCTGAGACTCTTTTCTGAGGGAGAAGTAAGCCAAGGCTTTACAGAAACTCATACAGAGCCACCTCCTCTGGGGCCATCTGCCTGTCACGTCACAGGACTGGGCTGCCGAGGCTCAGTCCCCCCACCAGCCATGGTGGGGCCTTTAAAGGGGTTCCGAGCCAGCCGCTGAGCATGAGCCCAACCCCAGTCCTCAGAAGGTGCAGAGGGCGAGGAGGCCTGTGCCCTCCTGGCTATGAGGGAGCCAAGTCACCGCCAGGGGGAGATGTACTTACTCTGCAGCCACCGCTCACGCCTCAGCTTCCGTTTCTCCTTCTTGGGCAAAATCGTCTTCGCCTCGGCACCTGAGGACAGAGCACACGTGCAGTGAGTGCAGGAGCGTCCCCGTTCCCGCAGGATAAAGTCTAAAGTTCCCCACCCACAAAGCCTGGGAACAGAACTGGGCAGGTTCTGACAGTGCCAGGCAGCACTGGCCCCCTCCCCCCACGGGCCACGGTGCCCACAGCAGCTGGGTTGCACCCAGGGGCGAGGCCAGCCCCAGCCTCTCACAGCCCCCAGGGAAAGATTGAGCAGCGGCTCCTGCAGTGCTGGGGACATGACACTGCACATCAGCACAAAGTCAGGAGGGTGCCTTAAGCACAGGGGTCCCTCTGAGGCAACAGCCTGACACTAACACGGGGCTGCCCGAGGACACCAGGCAGGCCTTCACCCGCCTCCTCGCCACCCCAGCCCAGTATGACCTTCTGGAGGGCTGCTGCTTAAGCACGCTGACAAGAGAGGGCAACACAACTCAAGGAGGACCCACAAGCTATCAAAAACGGTGAGCACCTCAGAGCACCACGCTCCCCTTCTGCTGAGCCCAGGACCTGAGCACAGTCCCCGACTGCTTGGAATTCCTCTGCACAGGTGCTGCCAGAAGCCGAGGACGCAGGTGAGCCCAGTCTAAGCCAGTGGTGGTCCCACATCTTGTCACCGAATCAACCAGGATAGTAAAACCCACTCCCGTCAGAGGTGCCTTCCCCCAGACCCCTCTGTCCACCTCGCCTGCCATGTGGGGATGGCCCCAGCCTCACCCCCAGCATGAGTGGGGTACAACGCACATCTTCTCCTTTGTTCCCAGCTCTGTCGTTAAATACTGGCCACCTAGCTGACCTCCCACTGCCCACCCTACTCCTGTCCCGTCCCGCAGCACTGTCTGCTCTTACTTTGTGATGACTTCAAACGCCCAGGTGTGTGGCCTCCCCTTCCTTCATGACCCTGTCCTCACCACCATGGCTGTCTGCACACCTCCACTGTTATGGGCTGAACTGTGTTCCCCAAAATGTACATGTGGAAGACCTCATCCCAGGACCCCAGATCATGAGGTAATTAAGTTGAAACGAGGTCACGTGGGTGGGCTCTAGCCCAATAAGACTGGTGTCCCTATGGCAAGAGCAGATGAGAACACAGACATGCACAGAGCGATGACCATGTGAGGACACAGGAAGGAGACGGCTGTCTATACACCAAGGAGAGAGGCCTCAGGAGGAACCGGCCCTCCTGGTGTGTGAGCCACTGGGCTATGGTGCTTTGTCATGGCCACCTGAGCTAACGAAGACACCCAGCTTCTCTTGAGTAACTCAGAGCACTGTGCTTCCCACATTCAGACAGGCCCGAGCTTCACCTCCCCAAAGCAGCCACCTGTGAGCCTCATTTGCCCACTCAGCTACCAGGTGCCAAGACCCCGTCACACTCACTAGCATATGACATGCTAACTACCTGGAGAAACCCGATGACCATTAGGAGCACTGAGCACATTTATGCCAGTGACCCCGTGACTAGGCCCATTTTACAGATGAGAAAAGCAAAGCTTAGAGGGGGGCCAGGTCACGGGAACTGCTGTGGCTCAGCCTGGAACAGAGTGTGAGGTGGGCCCACAGCCATCAGGCCTCCGCAGCACCCTGTCCTTGGCTGGACCCCGCTGAAGCGTCTCCGGCACCCCTGGGACCAGGCCACTGGAGAAGTACTGGGGACATGGGATTTGGGGGTTTATTCCCCCAAAGAAACTATGATCCAAGGAGTGTACGTAGGTGCAGCTCCTCAGAGCACCCAGATAAAGCACATGGCCCACCTGCAGGACACGCAGTGTCTCAGGTGGGGAGCGAGATACAGAGCCCTTTTCCCAACAGGCACATTCGGGGTGGGAGACCCACCAACATGCAGCATGGTGCCCGCTGCACTGCGTGCGAGCCACTGCCCCATGCTGGCCAGACCGGAGTCCCAGCTGAACAAAGACAGTCAGTGTGTCTGAAGCCGTGGGGCCTCAAGACAGCCCGATTATGCCAGCTGGCATGTTAGGTGGCACTGGATTCTGTTTGGACAGGCTGGAGCACCCAGACAGCGTCTCCCCACCCCCACCCCACCCGGGGTATGCGCGCTAGGGGAGCGGACGGTGCCAGGCTGGCAGGTGCGCCATTGGAGCACGAAGATGATGCAGTCCAACGACTTTCTCCCCGACGTCAGGGCTGTGGCATGAGGGCACACACGTGGGAGAGCAGTAGGTCAGAGACGCTGGACCTACTGACAGCTTCTCTGCTTCCCGCTCTAAAAATGGAGCAAACGCCAGTCTGCCGCACTTCCTTGGCCTTAACTAGGTCCCCAGCGATAAGGTGGCTTAAGCCCAGGACGTTCTATATGAGATGCACATCCTGACAGCTTTGCTTCCCGCAGATGAGCTTGGCTGTTACAACAGATCCATGACATCTAAGAAGACAACGAAGAAACAAGTTCTGTGGAGAGCCAGGCGGAGATCCTGCTCAGGAATAAGCCCGGGGCACATGACTTCATGGGAATTACGTCCTTTTCCAGGAGCCAGGAGCTATGTGTCAGGCCCCATGGCACCTTCTGGACATGCCCCAAGTCGACACTGGCCACGGGGGAGGGGGATGAGGCATCCGAATGACAAAGTGAGAGCGACTCCACACTCTGGGGTAGGTCACCCAGCCTGAGGGCTCAACCTGAACTTGGGCAGGTACCGGGAATGCCTAGTCCAGGGCAGGCCTGGCCAACCTGCAGTGTGCATGTGACCCAGAGAGCAGTTTGTTCTTATCTTAAAGATGAGTAACATTCTCCGGAACCTAAGATTAAAAACATTTAAAACCACCACCCAACCAAGCTGAGCACAGGCAGGGAGGGCGGGGCTGGCCACCCTGGGCCTCCTGCTCAGCACGGCAGGCTTCTCCAGCGCCTGAGCCTGCCCTGAGCCCGCCCGAGGTGCCTCCATGGCCTTTGGCTGCAGCAGGAACCCTGCATGCGGACCCAAAAGGCGCCCAGCAGCCCACAGAGAAGGCCGGGTGCAAACTCAGGCACAGGTTGCTTTCACAAGAAAAGGAGAAGGTGAGACGCTACTGTACATAACAAAACAGTAAACTTTGGAGCTTTGATTGTAGAATCACAACTTGGACAGCTGAGAAGAGCCTCAGTCTTCACATCCAGAAAACAGGAGTGCAACTACAGCAGTGTGGATGAGGTCAGTAACCTTCTGCTCTGTTCTCATAAAGGAGTCTTGAGGAACGGAATGCAAAGTTCAAGTTTAAAGGAGATGCCCGTCTGCCTGCCCCAGTGCCACCCCTGTACTAGGGAGGCCCACCCCCACTCCCAGTCCTTGTCCAGTCACCACAGCCGCCACCAGTGGGGATAGTCAGGACAGGATACGGTTTCACAGGTGTTGCATTTCGGGAGGATATGGTTAACGGGATATCACAGGACCATACTCTAATGGAACAATAAGGAAAATCAGTTTGTAATCAGCCTTTCTACCAACGACATCAACAACGCTGTGGGAAAGGACCTGGGCACAGGTGATGAGAGACAACTACAGGTTATAGCTGATGTGACCGAAGTCACAAAATGCAAAGGCAACTGTGATGCCCCCGGTCTCCTCACCACAGTGGTAAACACAACCTAAGACACAGGTTTGGGAGGAAAATTAAGCAGGAATCATTTACCTCCCTCTGTAAGGTTCCCAATAGATTAATATGTAAATAAAAAAACAAAGCCACAAAAGTACTACAAAAAACACAGATCTGGCTACACACAATTTTTTTAAATATATACATATTTTTATTGAGTTCAGAGAGGAAAGGAAAAGGAGAGAGAGATTGAAGCATCAGTGATAAGAGAGAACCATTGGCTGCCTCTGACACACCCTACACTGGGGATGAAGTGTCAGCATACACAGACTGAAGGGTCCCGGGTTAAATTCTGGCCAAGGACATGTGCAGGCGGCAAGTACAGGAGGCCACCAATTGGTGCGTCTCCCTCACATCGATGTTTCACCCCGTCCCTTCCACTCTCTCTAAAAATCAATGGAAAAATATCCTTTTGTGAGGATTAACAACAAAAAAAAAGCTCATTCTACCAGTAAAATACATTTTACAAACCAGACCCCACTGTCGACCCTTCATATGGCAGAGAACCAGTGGCAGACTTGTGAGCAATGGGTAGAAGCTCCATGAGCAGTGTCTTCACAAGGCAAACTGGCACCATCTACTGGCATTTTCAATCGCCACTCATTTGCCTCAGCAATTCCACCCCTATGGTTTTATCTGCAATGGGGCTGGGTTCAATCGGGCCCAGCCCCATAGCCATTCTTCCTGCTCCAACCCCTTCCCTCTCAAAATGCCCAGGCAGAGTCCTCCCGGGGCTCCTTCCTTGCCCTTGCCCTTCCCTGCTTCTGTCTGTTAAAAAGAACGGACTCCACGCAGAGAAGGCGAGAGCAACCCAGCAGCAGGGCCCCTCCCTACTTCCCGCTATGCCACTGCGGGGTCAGAGCCACAACACACCCTCGCCTCCGGTCCTGCACTCGGCCAAGCACACAGGCCTTCAGGCCCTGCTGACCAGGATGGCCTTGGAGACAGTGGATAACCTCCCCAGGGCCTGTGGAGGCATTCCAACCGAGGCCCTACTCCCCAAAGCAGACCCCAGGGCCAGGAGCCATGCAAGAGCTCACAACCAGCAGCTGCAACCACAGAGGATATAGCCCTCTCTGACGGCTGGCAGCCCAAACATGGCAGGAACAGGCTCCAAATGCCACCCACTGTCCTCAGGGACCCACACATGCTACAAGCACCATCAGGTGGACTATCCAGAAACTGGCTCCTCTGAGGCGGTCATCCCCCCTCCATAGCCCCTCTCTGTTGGTTCCCTTTTACAGCTGGAGGTGGGGTGGAGGCGAGGAAGGGAAGTGGTCTGAGGGTCTGTACAACCCCTGACTGCAAGGCTGGAGGAAAGTGGAAAACTCCTGAACCCCCGGAAAGCCTGAGGGCTCCCTGTGCGCTGCAGCAGGGCCTTCCCCAGCTCCTCTCCAGAGCAGGGCCAGCCTCTCCAACCTGAGCTGGGCTGTGGAGAGGATGCAGCTTTGCCGCCCTCTGCCGAGCAGTCCTGCTTCGGGCTCCGGTTTCAGAGGGAACCCTGCAGTGGGTCAGAGGCACAGCGGGGGGAGGCTCCAGCGTGGCACAGGGAAAATGCAGGTAGGCGCAGCAATGTGGTCTGCATGGCCACTGTGATCTGCCCTATCAGATATGTCCCCTATCAGAGGCCCAGAGCGCTCTCTGATAGGGGACATAGGGGTCTCAGCAGCAGTCCCGGAGACACAGAAGGCGGGTGCACACCCTCCAGGTGCCCCTACAACAAAGTCCCTCCACTGTGGCGTCCTTGTCCACTCACCACTGCCACTTCCCCGAGCTCTCCTGTCACAGAGCCCAGCAGACATGCTTCCACCGCCGCCCCTTGGTGGCCTCCAAGTTGTCCAGCGTGCTGACCGTCAACATACTGCCCACCCAGCATGGTGGCAATGCTGAGGCTCTCCTCCCATACTCCTGCTCCTGCCTCCCTAACCAGGCCTATCCTCCTCCAGTCCCACCCCACCCTGCCCACCTCTCTGGGCATGAGTCTGGGACTTGTGATGCCCAGTTGAGGCCACAGATGGAGTGCTGGCCCTATACCCCTGGTGCTTGTCTGAGAACAAAATGGGCTTATTCTCTGCACCCTTCCAGCATAAAGGATTATCGGACTAGAAGAAGATGGGAAGAGCAGCAATCTGGGTGAGGGAGAAATGCACAGCCACACGTCCTCACATAGGAAAGGACACAGAGGAGCGAGGAAGCTGCTTCACAATGCGGTCCCTGAACCCAGGGACCCTGACTCTCAAGGCAAAGCCAAGCTGGCTGGTGGTAGAAGGGGAAGCTGAGTGGTGGTGGGTGGGGTCTGTCCACAGGGGGAGCTGGGTGGAGGTGGTGGCTGGAGTCCATCTGGAGTGGGAGCTGGGTGGTGGTGGCTGGGGTCCATCTGCAGGGGGAGGAGTGGGGGACAGCCTCTAGCTTAGTGGTTCCCCACAGGAAGTATGGAGCCCCTGCCTGCAGGGGGGGGTTGAAGGGAACCTGGGGGCAGATTGGACTCCAAAGGCCGCAGGGCTCCAGGGGCTCTGTGCAGAACCCCTGGCACAATGCCACCAGCAAAGCAGGTCCACCAGGTCTAAGGCTGCAGGGAGTGTGAGAGCACATCTGCCTGAAGGAGAAACACACACAAGCACATGGGAGTCGCACATTCATCCATCAGGGTGATGGACCACAACCAGGCCAGGCTCCCCTGAGCGGGCTCAGCTCTTCCAGTCCATACTGCCTACAAGGCAGCGGCACAGCAGCTGAGACACAGGCACAGTTCTATTTGTGACTCAGCCCAGGGCGAAGATGCAAAAGGACGCCTCTGAGCTAATACAGGCCGACAGGTGTCCTCACCTTCACAGCCCAGCAGGACACTGAGCAGCCAGGGTGTGAGTCATCGGTACCACTTTCCACATGACCTGTCCCAGGCCACCAGCCCAGCTCAGGCCTGGAGACTACAAGACCCACTGTTCCCCTGCAGGTTCCAGGCACTGGCCAATGAGGAGGAAACAGGCTGAGGAACAACCTAAATCAGAAGAGATGCTGAAGAGGGTGGCTCCGGAGGAGGAGAGACTGAGATAATCAGTCACCGGCCACCAGGAACCTGGGGCATCTTGATCCTTGGGGGCTCCATCGGGAGCTGCAACAGCTGTGACAATGTCTACAGAGAACCATCCACAGTGCTGGAGGGAGGGCATCAGGACCCCCATTCCCAGATGGGCTTCAAAGCTCAGAGCTCAGCAAAGGGAGAGGCTGGCACCTACGATGGGGCTTGCCCGCCCCCTGCACCTCATCCTTGTCCGAGAAAGGGGACAGAGTAGGCCAGCCCCTCACTGACATGGGAGCACCGCTGGGATGACCTCAGCCACCACCAGCCCCGCTCCCCCTGGAGCTGACCCCCAGCCACCACCAGTAGTGGGCATGATTAAAGGCCAGTAGGACTTCCAGGCAGGTCCACGAAGCACACTGCCCAGCAGATGCCATGCTCCTTTGATGCATGAGGAATGAACAGTCAGTCCTGGGAAGCTACACAGATGCCCAAATCCAACGGCCAACAAAGTAGAGCATCAGGACCTCAGCATGGCTCCTCTGACTGCAAGCTAATGCTTTGTCCCCTCCACTCCCTCCACGCTGCTCGGGGATACCAGCTGTAGCACAGATTGCTTCTCCTTCAGGGTGTATGCACCACCAACAGGCAGGGCAGCATGCCAACCAGGACCAAGAAGGCAGAGCCCGTTCCGTGGACAGAAAGCAAACTTGGCCCCACAACCAAGGAGAGGAAGGTCGCCGAGGTGACTGGCAGGAGGCTTGAGAGTAGCCACCATAGGGAACTGTCAGAAAACAGCATCTGTCAGCTCTCTAGGGGAATAACTTCCTCAGCTATTTTTAAAATCCTAGAAGAGTTTTTTGTATGAAATGACAAATAGCTAACCTCTATAATAGGCAAAGCACTTACCCAAGGTTAAGAATGGTGATCAGAACTGCCCCAAATGCACAGACAAGCCTTAAGAGCATCAGTGAACATATAAAACGGTTGATCAAGAAATTTATGAACAGAGGGGGAGGGGCGGGCTGGAGAGGGGGAGGGGGGTATATGTAATACTTTCAACAATAAAGAATTATTTTCAAAAAAAGAAAAAAAGAAACTTCTGAAAAACGAGGACTACTAGGACGGAGGAAACCTTGTGATTGTGAAGGCGAGGGAAGGTCGCAGCCAAAATGGACCCTCACAAACACCTTCCTCCATTCGTTTCCCCATGACCTACCTTCCCACGGTTTGCGCCCTGCAGGGCTACAAACGTGTTGTTTGTTGCTAAGATGCTACAGCAGCCAGGTTCTCACCACCCCTCTGAGTTTCTCACTACTCCCCTCTCTCCTGGGTGGACTGCACTGCACACGTTAATAAGCTGCATTTCTCTTGATCTGTCTTTAGTGAACCTAATTTGCAGGATCCCTAGGAGGGGAGGGGAAGTGTCTGCTCCCTGCAGTTTCAATGCACAAATAACGGCAAGGAGAAGTACGTGCATCTCCCGTGACATGAAAATGTCCCGAGCAATGATGCAAACAACATAACCCCACAGAAGACACTTGATGTAAGTCAGACCTGTGAACTACTCACATCTTATAGCCTGAGCTGTTTACAAACTACAGGTGAAAACCTGGAAAATGATACTAAATCTGGATGCTGCTGAATCCTCCAACAAGAAATAATTTTAAAAATCTGTATATCAATTCACTAGAGAGCCCCGGGGACACAAAGACTGTGAAAGCAGTAAGACAAAAAGGACAACTACTTACAACTTTAGAGAACGTACAGTCAACTAAACCAATGGAAGTCGATGTGCAGGTAAATAAAGTACAGAAGGATTACAGAGACTGAGGCAAACAGCCCTGCCCCAGAGGCCTGAGTGCTCCTCACAAGGTTCCACACCTCTCTTATTTCAAATGCTCAGCTGCCTATGTGCAGCTCACAGCTACCAGCACGGAGGCTTCTCTCCAGACACAGTGGCGGTGCACCCACCAGGCCTTGGGAGCTCACTCCACCTCCAGGGCAATGTGACAGGGAGCAGAGCTGCTCTCCCTTCCAGAGAAGCTCAGCCGACAAGCTCTGGCCACAAACTGGGCTGGATCGGAGAAACAGGGTAAAGACACCAGGAGAAGGCAACCAGCAAAATCCAAAATGGGGGAAGTGCAGTCAGAAAAATGCCCTCCCCACATCATAAAAAAATGAGGGGAAAGGTTGGGCGCGGGCTGCAACACAGCAAGGCACTTGTTTGCACCCTGATCTTTACAAAAACTTGATGAGGCAATCAAAAATGGGTGAACGATGGATGTATATTCGATAAGAAATTACTGCTAATTTGTTTAGATGTGATAACGGCACTGTAGGTATGCTATTTAAGAAAGAGCCCTTAGAAATAGATACTACAGAATTCAGGAGAGAAACCATTTGCTTCAAAATAATGCAGTCTGTGTGTATTGAAGATGGGTGCTGGGTACAAGGATTTTCTTTATACCATTCTTTCTATTATAGTATATTTTTAATTTTTCCATTAGTAAAAATTTTTAAAAATAAACAGTCCTAACCAGTTTGGCTCAGTGGATAGAGCATCAGCCTGTGGACCAAAGGGTCCCGGGTTTGATTCCCATCAAGGACGTGTACCCTGGTTGCAGGTTCCTCCTGGCACAAGCCCTGGTCAAGCTCATGCAGAAGGCAACCAATCAATGTGTTTCTCTCACATCAATGTTTCTCTCTCTATTTTCCTCTCTCTTCCACTCTCCTTAAAAAATCAATGGAAAAATATCCTCGAGTGAGGATTTTTTTTTTAATGTAGTTAACTGAAATTTGCTCTTGCCTATGCATTTGAACAACTCAAAGCCAGCCAGGCACTGGAAGCATGCAAACCATAAGGTCTGCCTCACTCCCTCTCACCTCTCCTGACGGAAGCAACACTCCTTGTGTCCAAGTCCAGCTTCTGCACCAAGGCACTGGGGTCTATCTTGGTCCTGGCAAAGATGTCAGTGTTCACAAACGCCCACTCCTAAGAAGGAAAGAGAGAAGACCATGTAAGAATTGCTCCATGTCTTTGTGGTGAAATGCAAGGCCCGTCACACGGCAGGGAGACCCCTGGGTGAGAGCCTCAAGATGCACAAGGACTGGCTATCAGGAGGAGGACCTGGAGAAACCAGCCCACTCCCCAGCCAGGAAGCCCAAGACCCCGGGAGCTCAGACTCCAGAGCCCTAGGGCAGCACCTCCTGCCCGCCTCAAGTCACCAGGTGGGCCGTGCTCCTGGTCTAAGAACCATCTTAGATCGGATTCAGGATCTCCTTCCAAACCTCACATCTTCTTACTTGTACAGCCCTCTCCTGGGTCACATCCCTTCCTGCACCTCAGCACTCTCTCTCCTAGGCGTGTTTCTGACCTGCATTCATCCCTACATCGAAGTTTTAAAACCCTCCATGGCACTCTACCCATCGCACCGTGCTCACCCAGAACCCATTCCCCATGCCCATCTGGCTCATCCCAGGGCCAATGTCCAGGACAGGGGCCTCGGGAGGGACCTCAGCATCCACTCCCAGCGGAGTCACACACCAATGGACAGAATGGGGATGATGCAGATACTCATCTAAGTGCCAAGAAGGTGTTTGGCTGAGTGCGCCCACCTACCACCTGACAGAGCAGCTCTGGCTGGCTCCTCAGGACCGCCCAGGAGCCATAAATAAGAGACCTCAGCCGGAACCGGTTTGGCTCAATGGATAGAGCGTCGGCTTGGGGACTGAAGGGACCCGGGTTCGATTCCGGTCAAGGGCATGTACCTGGGTTGCGGGCATATCCCCAGTAGGGGGTGTGCAAGAGGCAGCTGATCGATGACTCTCTCTCTCATCGATGTTTCTAGCTCTCTATCTCTCTCCCTTCCTCTCTGTACAAAATCAATAAAATATATTTAACAAAAAAAAAAAAAATAAAAAATAAAATAAATATATTAAAAAAAAAAATAAATAAATAAATAAATAAATAAATAAGAGACCTCAGAAAACCCAACGGGGAAACAGTGCTGGAGCCGGGGGGACGCAGGGCGGGCAGGAAGGCCGCATCAATTGATACCTCCCAGCAAAGGGGAGCCCAGGTCACATACATAAGTCTGTACACATTGATGCTCAACTTCTCTCTACTCTGTCACTTGGACATTTTCTGCAGTGGTAATTTCTCTCTCATAACTTCACATTTTGGAGCTTAATATAAAAAATATTGATGATACATTGACCGTTTCCATGAATAACAATGTCATTATGTAACTAGAAATCAGAATTGTTTGTCTATTCCATGTTAAAGTTCAATGACCAAACCCCCCTGGCCCCACCCCCCACCCCACCTTTCAAGAAGGTGAGGGCAGAAAGCCAGGACTTCCTTCCCCTGCCCTCCAACCCCTCTTGTTGAGCAGATACTCCACCCTGGGCAGGGAAAGTCCAGAACAAGCATGTCAAACTCAAAGGCTAACACAGGCCAAATGAACAAGAGCCTGCAAAAAAACAAAACGTGCACTGCAAAAAACCAAAAGCTTCAATTTTCAGAGGAGGTTTATTTTGATAGAGACATGCTGAATACAAAGGACTGAAATAAATGAGTAATCATTAACATAAAAAAATAGAACATTTTAGCCGAAACCGGTTTGGCTCAGTGGATAGAGCGTCGGCCTGCGGACTGAAAGGTCCCAGGTTCGATTCCGGTCAAGGGCATGTACATTGGTTGCGGGTAAATCTCCGGTAGCGGGTGTGCAAGAGGCAGCTGGTCGATGTTTCTCTCTCATCAACGTTTCTAGTTCTCTATTCCCTCTCTCCTCTCTGTAAAAAATCATCATGCCCTCACAAGATGGCTGCCTATGACCAGGTTGGCAGAGGGGTTAGAGAGGAATGACTAAACGACTGAACAAGTAGGTTGCATAGGACAACCAGGCTGGCAGGGGAGTAAGTGAGGAACAACCCAATGACTGAACAGCAGGTTGAGTGGGGCCACCAGGCCAGCATGGAGGTTAGTGAGGGATGACCCAATAACTAAATAGCAGGCTGTGTTGAGCAACCAGGCCAGCAGGGGAGTTAGTGAAGGATGACCAAATGACTGAACAGCAGGCTGCGTGGGGCAACCAGGTCGGCAGAGGGGGCAGTTGGGGGCAACCAGGCCAGCAGGGAGAGGGCAGTTGGGGGCAACCTGGCTGGCAGTGGGAGGCAGTTAGGGGTGACCAGACCAGCAGAGGGGCAGTTAGGGGTGATCAGGCCTGCACATGGAGGCAGTGAGGAGCGATCAGGCTGGCAGGGGATAGGGGGGCAATTAGGGGCAACCATGCAGACAGTCAGGTGAGAGATTAGGAGCTAGCGGTCCAGGATTGTGAGAGGGATGTCTCACTACCAGTTTAGGCCCAATCAGGGGGTCAGACATCCTCCGAGGGATCCCAGATTGGAGAGGGTACAGGCTGGGCTGAGGGGATTCCCCCACCTCCACCCCTCATCTGTGCACAAATTTCATGCACCGAGCCTCTAGTTAAAACATAAAATAAAATCCTGGAGTCAAAGAGCAGTGATCAAAATGAATAATTTCACTTGAGAGATTCAAAACTGTATTTGAACTGGCAGAGGAAAGGATCAGCAAATTTAAAGAAGGATTGATAGAGATGATGCCATCTGAAGAAAAGAGAGGAAAAGAACAGAGCATGACAGAGAAATCAATAGAAATAAATTTATAGAATAGGCTTGCAGAAGGGAAAACCTGACTGAAATGGAGTGACCAGGCCAGAAGGGGAGGGAGATCTAGCCAGTGCCCACCTGACATCAATTACAGAAAAAGAGTCAATGAGAGACTCCAACAGAAGAATCCTCCACAGGAAGGAATCACCAATTACAGGCCCAACAAGAAACACTGCTGTACACTGTCCCTCCTAAAACAGGGGTGGGGAACCTTTTTTCTGTGCAAGGGACATTTGGATATTTATAACATCAAAATTACCAACTTAAAAGTTATCCTGTTAATTAAAATCATTTAATTAACTCACCCCTAGTGCCTTGGCTGGGGGGACTGGCTGCACTTTCCCCATCCCTGTCCTTCAAGAAACTGACTCCCTGGCATCTCAGCCTATGAGAAACATCACCTCCCTGAACTCTCCCTTTCCTCTGATGATCTTTCATTCAAAACCCTCCAGTTTTCTCCTTTTTCTCCATAAAACAACTCTTCTACTAGACATGCCTGCAGTTTTTGCTATAGCTGGCTTTCCCAAATTTCAATCCTTTGCTATTCCCAAATTAAGCCTCTTTTGCCAGTAAGTAACTTTTATACTTAAGGTCTATGTGGAAAAATGAATGGCTTCTTAGAGTACCTTTAAGCATGACAGCATAAGTAATGGAAGTACCAGATGAAGAGACAGAGAGGGAGATAAAATATTCATAGAAACAATGGTGGAAAACTTGCCAAATTTTATGGAGAATATTAACCTACACATCCAAGAAGCTCACTAAACTCCAAAGGGATCACAAACTCCAGACAGAACAAACACAAAGGCACATTAGTCAAAATACTTCAAGGCAAAGAAATAACCTTAAAAGCAATAAAACACACACACACACACAGACACACCCCAACAGAAGATGATTGATTCATCACAATGAAGTGATGATTAACAGGTGACTCCTCATCAGGAACAATAGAGGTCAAGAGGCAGTGGTTTGGCATATTCGAAGCATTCAATCTTTCAAGAATGAAAGTATCCGGGACCGGTTTGGCTCAGTGGATAGAGTGTCGGCCTGCAGACTGAAAGGTCCCCGGTTCGATTCTGGTCAAGGGCATGAACCTTGGTTGCGGGCACATCTCCAGTGGGGGATGTGTAGGGGGCAGCTAGTCGATGTTTCTCTCTCATCGACGTTTCTGACTCTCTGTCCCTCTCAATTCCTCTCTGTGTAAAATCAATAAAATATATTTTTTTAAAAATGAAAGTAGAACAAATACAGTCCCAAATAAAGCAAAGTTGAGGGAATGCATTGTTCATAAATTTGCCTTCTAAGAAATACTAAGGGCATTTTTTAGGCTGAAAGCAAATGATACCTAAGAGTTCAAATCCACAAAAAACAAAACAGGGAGTCTAGAAAAGGTAAACATGTAGGTAATTATAAAAGAATAATCATAACAACTTCAGGCTGGACGTAACATATAGAGGAGTGGGCACAAGTAGGTTAAATTGCCAGGAATCATAAGAATACGAAATAAAATCAAGAAGATAAGTAATACAAATAAATAATGCAATAATTAATAAGTAATACAATAACTGTGTTCCCTGTACTCACCACTGTAAACCTACTTTTGTCCACCCGTATATAGATACAATTTGCATAACAATACAGCAGGACAAGGGGTGGCAGGGAATGGAGCAGTACAGATTCTATCTTTTACTGGAATTAAGACGTAAATACTGGTTTGGCTCAGTGGTAGAGCGTCGGTCTGCGGACTGAAAGGTCCCAGGTTCGATTCCAGTCAAGGGCATGTACATTGGTTGCGGGCACATCCCCGGTAGGGGGTGTGCAAGAGGCAGCTGGTCGATGTTTCTCTCTCATCGATGTTTCTAGCTCTCTGTCTCTCTTCCTTCCTCTCTGTAAAAAATCAATAAAATATATTTTTTTTAAAAAAGATGTAAATACTGAAATATATTGAGGGCCCTACATCAACCCCTAGAGGATAACCATTATCAAAGAGTCTCTCCATGACCAAACACTGCCCAAGCTCCCCTGCAATTTCCTCAACTTTTCATAACACCAAAAGCACAAGCAACAGAAGAAAACAAGATAAATTAGACCTCATCAAAATTAAAACCTTTGTGCTTCCAAAGACAATATCAAGAAAATAAAAAGACAACTCATAAAATTCAAAAAAATATTTGCAAGCCATACCTATCTGATAAGGGCTTGCCATCCCAAATATATAAAAAACTGTTAAAACTCAACAAAAAAACAAACACTTAAAAAATGGGCAAAGGACATGAACACACATTTCTCTAAAGATATACAAATAACCAACAAGCTCATGAAAAGATACTCAACATCAAATGCAAATCAATGAAATATCACATCACACCCACTAGGATAGCTATAAAAAATAAAAATTAAAAAAAAGACAATAACAAGCGTTGGTGAGGATGTGGAAGAATCGGAACCCTCATGTATTGTTGGTGGGAATGTAAAATGGTGCAGTCACTGTGGGAAATAGTCAAGCAATTCGTTTAAAAGTAAAACTCAGCATTCTGTACCACCAGCAATTCCACTCCATAAATCCACTGGAAGCTCTGTATAGGAATGTTCACTCCCAATAGCCAAAAATTAGAAACAACCTAAGTATCCATCAACCTAAGTGTCCATCAGACAAAATGTGGTGGGTATGGTACACTACACCCATACAATGGCATGGTTTTCAGCCATTAATAAGAAAGACAAAGAAATGAATATTACAAAAATAATACTATGCAGACCCTCAAAAGTATGCTAAGTGAAAGAACCCAGATATAAAAGGCCACATATTGTATATTCCATTTATATAAAATGTGCAGAACAGGTAATCCTTTGAGACAGAAAGTCTCAATTACTGATAATAGGGATTGCTTTTTAGAGTGATAAAATGTTCTGCAATTTGTAGTGATTTTCCTGCACTGGGGCCTCTAGTCCTACATAATAAAAGCCTAATATGCAAACTGTCCCCTCGACTAGGAGTTGAAGGAAGTTCAACCAGGGGGCAGACTGGGCTGGCCTGCCAACAGCAGGAAGGGAGGTCCCAACCGGCAGCTGGCAGCTGCTAGAGTCACTACCAGTGCATGAATTTCATACACAGGGCCTCTAGGATTCTCCTAAGTGTCCTGGTTTAGGGAAAACAATTTACTAGAGAGCTGACAGTGCTTTCTAAATGGCTGCAAAGGGCTGCCTCCGTTTCCCTGATCCACTTGTCCTGGCTTACTGGCCTGTCTGGGCGGGGGGGGGGGGGGGGGGGGGAGGTGTCTGGTTCTCACACAGCTCAAGGCGTGGGACGAGTCAACCCTACCAGCCATCTCAACGTGGGAGGAGGCCCCCACACCTCGCCGGCGGAGAAGGCGCGCAGATCGCACAGCAAACACCGCGAGGGCAGCACCCGGGTCGCAGGAGACCCGCCTGGGGAACCACAGGGCCGAAGCCAACACAGGACCCCCCGAAAGCCGCACCGTGCGGCAACCCAACCAACCCCCGCCGACCCTACTCCCATCCCGACCGCCTCCTGGCTCCTAGTTTACCTTTCCGCCAGCCGAGGTCTGCGGAGGGGCCCCCTCCTGGGCCGGAGGCGCGATGCCGGGCGCGGACTCAGCCGTGAGCCTCACAGCAGCCTGGTGCACGCGGGCCCGCAGCCCCCTGACTTTCCCCATGTCTCTGGTTGAGACCCACTGTGGACCGGAAGCCGCGAGGCGCAGGAGGCGGAGCCTGCGAGAAGAGGCCCGGGCGGAAACTGGAGCCGAGGCAGCTGGGTTCCGCTATCCGCCCTGCAGCGGCTGCGCAGTCTCTTGGGAGGGGCGGGGCCGCAGAAGGGTGTGGCCGATGAGGGGCGGGGCCGTGTGTCCTAGTCCCGCCCTGTCCCCGCCTCCTGGAACGCCCCGCCTCCCAGGCAGATGCGGTCTAAATGCCGGAATCCTGGCAGCCTCATTGTGATTAGAGGATGATGAATATGGAGCTGGATGGAGCAAGCTTGTTGGAAACACACGAGTGTGTTCGCCACCCGCACTTGTGCCTTTCGTACAGTCTCTGAGGGAGAAAAAGAATCAGAGGCCTGGGTGCGGCCTGCATATTATGTGAAGTGGTGGACCTGTCTGCAATGGGAGATCTGAGACTGAATGAATGTGGTTGAATCTAAGAGGAGACCCAATAACCCTTGCCTGAGCGAGTCCATTTGTTTTATTAACTGTGACTGAACCTTTACTTTGTGTCCATCTTTTTTTTATTATTATTACAGCATTTTACTTATTCCTCAAAACAATTCCTGGAAATGGGGTGTAACTCGTCTGTTTAAACTGGAAACTACATGATAGACTAACTTGTTGCAACACACACAGGTCAAGTGCTAGGAAGCTGCTGGACCAGGCCCTGAGTGAGCCCTGCAGTTCACTTTCAGTCTCCCAGGCATCCAGCCCTGAAGAGAAACAAGCTGGTGAGGGTGTGACTTTCATCCTCAAAGAGCCCTTTGTTCTGTTAGGTCCACACAGGATCCAGACTCAGCCAGGAGAGAGGACACACCGCCCCTCCCCACACAAGAGACGCCTTGGGTGCCAGCACACAGGAATCCACCCTGTCTCGGAGCCCAGCCGAAACTCCGATACAGAAAATGGGCTTTGGAGAGGAATAGTTGGCCCCACACAGAGCCCTTAAAAGGATGCAAAGGTGCTTGCCCTGGAGAGTAGTTTCCCCACTGCAGGCAAGTCAGTGCTCTATTTTGGTTGTTATAGGCCTGTTCAGGGTGTGCAGAACCTGACCTGTCCAGATCTAGAATGTCCAACAGGGATGGGGACATTTGTAGATGACAAAGGCCCCTGGATACACCAGGCTGAACGTAAAGAAGCAAAGTCACAACATAGATCCACGCTGAGGCCAGAGAGAAATGTCCCTGGAAGAACTTCAGAGACCAGCGTCTGGGTGAGCCATCCCGCTCCTGGGTGAGAGTCCCTGGCTGTCAGTGCTTTTCCAGGCTCCAGGGCACCTGCCCAGCACCTCTCAGACCAGGGGGGTTGAAAGGTGAACCTCTAGCTGGGCTGAGAGCTAGACTGGAGGAACCTCTGGGAAGAGAGAGTTTTGGCCCAGCAAGTGGGCTTTCTGGAATGTGGAGAAGACCATGCCCACCCCAAGTCCGGTACCCACCAATCCCACGGGACGTAGGCTTCTTTGAGAGGGTGCCATCACATATGAAAGAAGCTTAGTACCATTCCGAGTCCCCAACTGTGCCATGGTAGAACAAGAATGCAGAGGCAATTTCTGCCAATGAAAGTCATGCAGGAGTGAGCTACGGGCATAGCCCAGACTCAGAGAAAAAGCCCAGGGGCATCAAGGACTGTCCTCTTGGCACCCCTCGCAGGGACACTAGGGGAAACCCAGAAGCAGCTCCATCGACCCAGCATTGCTGACCTGACCTTTAACACACTCTGCATCCACCAGCCTCATTTCCCCGAGTTGTCCGAAGCAGAGAGACTCCAGCTTGGCTCCTGGCAGGCGACAAGGTCCCCAGGCTGGCCCAGGCAGTGGTGTAGACACCTAAGCAGCTCCAGAGGCCTGCAGACGGCTCAGTTTCAGGCTTTCCTTTTTGCTCCCTGTGCAATCCACACTGTCCCGGTAAGAGGAGTGCTGCTCCAAAATAGATCTGTCAAAAATCCTGGGGCCCTGATGTCCTGTCTTTCCTCTCATCTCTTCTGTGACCACCTGTCCAGGGCACTCCATGCCGGAAAGGTACCCAGGCCATGATCCCTCTGGAAAGGAACTCCTGACTTTGGCCTCCACGGGAACCCCCCTCTCCACCCACCCCCCAGCCATTCTGCCCTTCCAGGCTCTCAGACCCATCTAGATCTGTCCAGTGTGCTCTCTGCCTTGGTGGTCCTTTATGCCAACTCCTGGGGAAATTCTTTTTTTCTCTCTGATTCAATCTTTTGTCGCTGGAGGGCGCTCACGGACCACGGAAGGCACACTTTGCTATTCTGCAGAGGTGAGGGCAAAGGTGCAGACTCAGGAGTGCCAGCTTCAGGTGGGACGGTGGGAGGGGAGGAGGGAGAGGGAGGACACTTCTATCTGCCACCAAGGTCCTCCAGTCCCCGCAGGTCCTTCTCAGTAGTATAAGGATGGTTTCCGGAACGTGCAGTGCAAACCCCCCCTCACCCTACCCCGCTGCATATCATTGTCCTCCGGGTCTTGGGACCCTGCGCCAGAGCGTCCTAGTGAAGCGCCAGGGTCTGCTGAGGGGCTTCCGAAGCCCCCAGGCTAAGCTTAGAGCAGAGACCACCTAACCTGCGAACAGCGAACAGAGAACAGCAGAGTTGCTTCTCCCAGCACGACCAGTGACAGTACTGGGACCTGAAGCTCAGGGCCCACTGCACCCCAGCCTTGCCTGACCCTGGTCCAATGCTTCCCCACAGGTGCCCGTGTGCTCAGTGTCAGGCCATCCTTCCTAGCCTGGTCCTGGGGGCTGGCCACCAGCGTCCTGGGTGCAGGGTGCAGCCCAGCCCCAATAACCTGGCTCCAAACGAACCTTCCTCCACCCAAGGCAATGGTTTTATCAGCCGCTCTTCCCACTGAATCCTCTCACCCCAACCGCTACCTGGCCGGAGCCCACCCTCACTTAGCTGGGAGAGGCCTATTCATAGCTCCCAGGGAGGCAGCCAGGATTGGAGTTGACTTGGATAAGGTAGGACCTTCTGAGCCTCAGTCTCCCCATCTCTACAATGGGGATGGTAGGAGTCTTTAAGGGTCAACAGCTATAGGTAACACATGCTCAGGAGATGCCAGTGACTCTGGAGTAATTAAGGAGCAAGTGCAGATAGTTCAGGTATGAGGTTTGGGGCAGGGCGGAGCCAGTGTAGGCAACAGACAGGAGGCTTATGGAAGGTGGAGGCTCAGTGCGCTGGGCTTAGGGTGCCTGGTCAGGGGCTAAGTCCTGGGTATGCTCCAGCCCTCCTGCCTATTCCAGCCCCTGGGGCTTTCTCCCCCTCCCACCTTTTGGGGGACCCTCTCTTGCTTCCACAAGGACTCGGCTCTGGAAAAAAGGCAGTGTGTTCTAGAACATTCTCTGACCCTGCCCAAGCCTCAGTGCACAGTGGGTTCCATCCAGCGGCTATGGGTTGGGAAGCCAAGTTCTGGAAGGGGTGCCCAGGCCCCCCAGAACAGCTTCTCCCTTACACGGTGGGCAAGCAGGTGAGCAGCTGCCCATGGGAAGGGGACAGGTGCGTGTGACCTGTGCCTCGTGAGCATGTGGGACCCTGGATGAATGTCTCTCTCAGTCCCACTGCCCGAAGGAGACACCCTGGCCTCTGAGACCTGGTGTGCTGGGTTGCTGGTCGCCACTGCCCCCTTGACCTGCAGGCTTTGACTTTGGTTTCGGGACACCTGGGGTTTTAAATGATCCATTTGGGTCTCTAAGAAACAGTTCGTTGCCTGAACATCTCCCTAATTGGGAGAATTTCAGGGAATCGCCGCCCCATTGGCTCCTGGGGCAGCAAGGTGGATGCCCGACCTATACACCTCTACCTGGAGCTCCAGTCCGGCTGCATCCCAGGAATACACCAGGAAGTCAGACGCAAACAATTCCGATTCTGAGGCTGTGGAATTCCAGCATGTGGAACCTCCTGGGGTAAAATACTGTGCCAGACTCACCAGACTCACCATGGGACCGCTGGGGTGATTCAGGGAAGTGGGTGGGGTAGGAGGAAGAGGCCTGGGGGGAGGTTACCCAAGCCACGATTTCGACAAGTGGTAGCTCTGCAGCCCCACCAGGGTAAGGCGTGGCCCTCCTGGCTGATGCCCTCGAGAAGGAAGCCCCAAAGCCTCCTTCTCACCCACCCACCTGCCCCCACCCTTCCACCCGCCCCCCATCCTTCAGCTGCATTTGTTTCCTCTCCTTGCAAACCTCTCCTAGCTCCTTGCAGGTGGCCATGTGGGGCTTGGGTCCCTTGATTTTGTCCTGTGTCTTGTTCATATAGTGACATCCTTTTCTGATTATAAAACTAATATGTGGCCTTCATAGACAACTTGGAAACGGTAGGACCCTATTTTATTTTTTAAATAAAATTTTTATTGATTTTAGAGAGGAAAGGAGAGGGAGCAAGAGATAGAAACATCAATAATGAGAGAGAATCATTGATTGGCTGCCTCCTGCACACCAGAGCCTGAAACCCAGGCATGTGCTCTTGACCGGAATCGAACCTGGGACCCTCCAGTCTGCAGATAGGCACTCTATCCACTGAGCCAAACTGGCTAGGGCAGATCCTATTTTAAATGCTAAAACCCCTTTGATCCCATTGCTCGGAGATGGCAGCGGGGCGTATGGGTGGGCAGTGCCTAGGGATCAGCCCCTCCCAGCACCCCTGCTTTCTCTCCCTGGGTCAGGCAGCCTGTTTAACTTGGAGTTTTCATTGTTGCTCAAGGGTGGAAAGATTAGGTCTTCCTAGTGACCACCGAGCACACCGCCCACAGTCTCAGCTCTATCTGCCCAGCCTGGCCCTGCATTGTGTGGGTGACCTTCAGCGGGTCATTTCCTGCAGGGATGAGGTCACACCCAGATAAGGGCAAATGTGCCTTCTCCTGCTGAGCTTCCGCTTCACCCCTGCTAGGTCAGCATCAGGGTGAAATCCCCTCTCCCCTCCCCCTCTGCCCTGCTTGGTCCCCTGCTGGGCTGGCC